TAGAATAGCAAAGTTTGCTATAAGCTCATCATGGTCAAGATTGTTAAATTTTAGGACTGCTTCTTTCAGTTCTAGATGTATTTGTTTTAATTCCATTATTAGATCCATTTTGTGTTACAGTGCACAAGTTTGGGGTTGTTACGAAAGTGCCCAGGTAGAAGCCGTTCAAAGGAGGTTCATTAAAAAGTTGTTAAAATTGCCAAGAAATACCGAAAATTATGTTTTGTATTTAGAGACAAATTTAGAAAAATTGCATTTACTCACATTAGGTCAAAATGTAGAGAGAGCGATGACGTGGTTTTTGTGTAGGGCAAGTGTAGTGTTGTGTGGGTTTTTGTGTAGAGCGCGATATCGAGACCAGTACTTGCTCCTTGACCTTGACCGCGTCGGCAGGACATTGCTGACTGATAAGGCTGACATTGGACTTGTGTCGTGGCTTATTAAGGCTAGAGCTCAGCTGATTCATTTGAATTATAAACCATGGAATGATGGAAGTGGGCTTTGCTCCCTTTGCAATTTAAATCAAGATGAAAAAGTTTTTCATTTTGTAGCAGAATGTCCAATTTTAAAAAAAACATTAGATTTAAATGGTTGGGTAGACATTTCTTGGCTCAAGCTGAGTTTATTTCATATTTAAATGGGGAGGATTGGAGTTTTTTCTGTAAATTTTTAAGGGAGGCTTGGTTTTATAGATGGGATTTAATCTAAGAATTTAATTTTTAATACGACTTTCTGCTTCATATACCATAGTTAGATGTTTCTTATTTAATTGTTTTTTCCTTATGTATATATATATACAGGGTGACAAAAAAGGCTGGAAACGGTTTAATATCTTTTTAACTAAATTCGTTAGAAAATTCAAACCTTTTACATCAACTTATGAAAACTACTTTTTGCAATCATTGCCATTATTTGACCTTCACCAGGGGACGGCCCACGAGGAGTAGGTACATAATCTTTAATGTAAGCATAGGTTGATATGCACATCATTTTAAAGGTCTGGTCAAGTGGAGTTCATTGCCGGAAACCACATCAAAAAAGATTCATCTGTTACAAAATGGCGGCAGTTCAAAGTTGTTGCGGAATATACCTGCAGAGGCCTTAGTATTGGTAAATAATCATAGTCAACATTAGCAGGGAAATCTGAAACCCGGTTAAATTAGTTTTGAAGATTGAATACTATTATTCTATGAGCTAGTTGACTTTAAAATACAGTTTAAGCTCTCAAACTAATGTTTAATACGAGTATTTGCCCATACTAAGGCCTGTGCAGGTATATTTCACAAGAACTTTGGACAGCTGCCATTTTGTAACGGATGAACCTTTTTGGACGTGGTTTCCGGCAATGAACTCCACTTGACCAGACCTTTAAAATGATGTGCATATCAACCTATGCTTACATTAAAGATTATGTACCTACTCCTCGTGGGCCGTCCCCTGGTGAAGGTCAAATAATGGCAATGATTGCAAAAAGTAGTTTTCATACATATAAGTTGATGTAAAATGTTTGAATTTTCTAACGAATTTAGTTAAAAAGATATTAAACCGTTTCCAGACTTTTTTGTCACCCTGTATAAATGTTTTTGTAAATGAAGTTAAAAGTGTATAAATAAATTTTTTGTTCTTTTACCTAACCCGCCATGTTAAACTTCCCTAACCCAAGCGTGATGTATGCAACTTCCTTACTTCTCGAGTGATGTAAAGTTGAAAAAAACTCACTCGGTGATGTAATGAAACCCTGAGTGCTTAACTTAAAAAATATACCTCTATGGAGGCATCGACGTTCAACGCTAGAAATCAGCTGTGCGCTTGAATGTTATTGTTATGCTTTAAAGTATTTTCATAACCTAGCTTTTGTTTGTAAAAGAACGTTACTGTTAGATGATGAGTGAAATGGATAATGAAAAATATTGTACGTAACCCCATGTATATTGTCGGGTCAGGTAAAATCTTGTACGTTACACGTTACGCAAGAGCGTGTTTACATCTCTTAGGTGAATTATGCAACTCGCTTCCGCTCGTTGCACAACATTCACCTGCGTGATGTAAAAACGCTCTTACTACACTTGTAATGTAAATAGCTATTATTACTGTACAGTTGGAATTGTTTTTGTTAAGGAGAAGGTATTTATGTTGCCAACCAAACAGACGGTCAACATTGACCATTGTTTAATAAGTGTTAGGTTTTTATTATAGCAGTACCTATGTATTTTATTTTATGTGCAAGTTAGTGTTGTATATGTTGTACATATGGAGTACTATTATGTAATTTACACAATAAAGCACTTTTTCATTTCATTTTAGATGAACAGCTGAAAGATTTAGAAGAATCTACTGTTAATCAAAGTGCCAGTCTCGAATGGATAGAAGCAAGAAGAGAACGCCTGACTGCATCAAATTTTGGCCTCATCTGCAATAGAAAAAAACATCCTCGTGTGCCACCGTAATAAACAAACTTCTTTATAAAAATACTTTTGTACATGTAAATGTATATACTTCGTGTAATTTAACTAAGCATGTACACATTTTTAAGAATTGTTATTTTTTCAGTAAGTTAAATCTAGTAAGTTGATTAATGGATTACTAGTGTACATGTTGCTCGAATTCGAGCAATTACAAAGTATTACAGGAGTTATTTCAGATTGAATAACAGTCATATTTACAATGAATTTAAAAGAGTTAACTCAAATATTGCCGTTGTGTAACTCAGACCCTGTTTATCTTCGTTATTGATAAACCTAAAGCATTCCGGACGGTTCTCTCCTTCTCAAAATGCCTCGCTGTACAGGCAACACAGGTCATTAATAGAGGGCCAATTGAGACCGAAAAGTCGTTTTGGGGTAGTGTAAGGGCGCATTCGTAACCAAATAGTTGAAGTTTTCCAGGTTCATGTTGAGACTGTTAAGCTGATGAGTTAAGCCTATTACGCGCCACTGTTCTGTAGTTGCGGTCGTTATCACGATTGCGCCTCCTGTCTATGTTTCGTTGTCGTTGCGTCGGAGACATTTAAAAGAAATAAACAACAAATAATAAACAAATTATAGCTACACAAAACGACGATAAATGCACAAATTTAAGTTACAATCATGCTAACACAATCCATCATAGCGACACAAAACAACGATAAATACACAAATTTAAGATACAACCATACTAACACGATCCGTCTTGGGGGTTATGTTTACACAAACTCAAATAGTAAATAAATGTACTCAATGTGTTTCATTGAATTGAAAAGTAAATATCAGCAATACAATTATACAGCTGATCAAAATGTAAACAATTATGTTCTTCATAAGGATAACATGGGAACTTTTAAAGCCACTGGGGCAGAGCCCAAGGGACTTTTTCAAAAATGTAAGGTCAGTTTGCAAATCTACGTGACACGCTCTTTCCAATGAGACGTCAATGGATAAAATCGGTTAAGAAATGGCGGAGGAGTTCAACCGACAAACTTTCGTGTAGCGTATTAATTATATAGATTTCAATTAATTTTTACATAGCTTTGATGTAGTTTACCATAAGATTATAATTATTTTACTTTACTGTGACACTATTTATGTATGTATATACAAGATAAATAAAGAAATTTGACTATGACTATGACGTCTTAGTAATTTTTCAATCATAGTAATATAGCAGAACAACGTATGATTTGCAATATTAAAAATAGAACAGTAGAGGTTTTAATAAGGAAAACTAAACACAGAAACTTGGAGATAAACATAATATATCTTTTAAATGTCTTATAAATAGTTAATTTTACAATATAGAAAAATGTTGATGTAATATTGGACAAACTGAACAATCAATATGTTTTCTAAAATAACTTCGTCAAAATATTATACTCGAAACTTTGAGAACACATTGTTAGGATAATAATAATAACAAATTTGTATCAAATGTTTTATAATAAAATAAGATGAAAATCTCTGATTAAAATAATCTTTTTCTAAAATCTCAAGGTCGCTCTTTAAATGCAAAAATTGGGAACGCATTTGTTACGATATAACAAATGCGTTCCCAATTTTTGCATAGTAAAGGAGAATTTAGAGGATAATTAAGAGCAAATTGAAACTAAACCAATTTATAATGTTACAGATGCCCATCCCGAGGACCGATCACGAATGATATAGTATCGGTGGGTTGTATTCGGGATGGTCATGTCTCTCGGTAATTTAAGACGGAACCTGTAATTTCCTTCTCTTAAAATGACTTCACCGTTTTGGTGTCATCAGTAGAATTTCGAATGTACGGTTTTTGGGTAGCCTATCAATTCTGGGTTTTTTCGCTTGCATTTGTGGTGGACGACAGGGTCGAGCAAAGCCTGGCGTTCGTGGTTGGCTAGGTAAAATCTTGTCTATCACAACAACACGTGAGGTGCTCGGTGTTGGATCAGATGTACACGATTTTTCCTGAGCCTGGGTTTTGACAATGATTGATGGTCTTTCAAATGACTGAGGATTTGTAGTGACAGGTTTGCTGCTAATAATAGTAGGTTGAGTGGGTACCATCCTGCTTTTCCCCTTAGTGTGGAGGCTGCACACATTAGCAGCAGGAAAACAGGACCTTTCACAACGCTCACCTTTTTCACCCCTTTTTTGAAAATATAAGCACAATGTGGCTTGGGCTTAAATACAGCTCGTCTTTTGCCATGAGTTTTTCCATTTTTTCAGAAGGGTTTGACTGGGAGGGAAGGGATTCTTTTGAGGATTCAGTTTTGGTAAAGAGTTTTCTAACAACGGTGGGTGCAGCAGGGAGGGATTTGGGTGGGGGTTTTGGAATGGTAATTTCAGGAGAATCTATGTCAGGCATTTGGTTCGAGGAGGAATTTAAATTAGGAAGAGTTAGGCTATGTGCTTGAGATTTTGGAGATGGCTTACGTTTGGGAGTGGATGGCTTTTCTGGAGATTTAATAGGAGATAGTAAGGAGAGAATTAAGGGAGGGAGAAGCATGGATAGAGGGGACTTATTTGTTTGATTTTTGGACGATGACGTAGAAGAAGAGGACGAGGACGATGAAGATGAAGAAGACGAGGAAGACGATGACGAAGAAGAAGAAGAAGACGATGATGAAGACGACGATGATTTAGACCGTGGCTTCGACGAAGTGTTACCAGAAGAAGATCCAGGCTCTACAGATGATTGATTAGAACTTGTAGATTTCTTCATGGTATCTTCAAACAAAGCAGAAGAAGAAGATGATCCCTGTAGTGTCTGAGAATCTTGTAAAATGATTTTTAGCTATTCTGGTTGTAACTATTTCCTTGGATTGTTGGAAATGTGTGATGGGGGCCCAGAGAACCGGACCTTTTACCCAGACCAGCAATACAGCCCAAACCAGCTTTGATTACACTTATTTAACTAACACACTTATTTACCTTAATTTTGATTGACACCTTCCAAACTAATACATAAATATATATATGAAAAACCTGATTGTGGGATGAATAGATTGAATTGTAGCTGGTATATGAACCAGGAAATCCCTTTTACCAGCAACTTAATCTCTAGGAACATGTGACTTCGAAACATGAAAAGGATTGTTTGATTCCGTTAGGCGGAATCAAACTTGATAATTAATGACAACATTTTCCAGCCTAGTAGCGAAGCCAGTGGCTTCCCACCCTGAAATTTACTGCTAGCCTAACATATTTTTATAGTTTACTTAAAACTAATAATTTAACTTAGCTTAATAATTTAGCTAATAATAAATAAAACTCAAGCCGTTTATTTTGAATCCTGGAAAACGTCTTTGGTAAATAAAAATGTAGCAGTCGTGCAGATTGACTTCGCTGAGAACTTTTCCCTAACACAACAAGATGAGATTCAGAGTGCTCACTGGTGCCACTCACAAATAACTGTATTCACCTGTTGTGTTTGGCATGGTGGTGAAGTTTACAGTTTTGCTTGTGTGAGCGATGACTTAAAGCACTGTAAGAACTCTGTGTGGACCTTTTTAAAAGTTCTTATTGAAAAAATGAGGGTTTTAGCTCCAGAAATCTCTCATTTTCATATATTTTCCGATAATTGTGCCGGCCAATTTAAAATCAAAACTTCAAAGTCACTCATGCTAAAAGTAAACGTTTTAAAAACTAAGGACCCTGAAGTTGAAGAAGAGACCTACACGGCGTCGACTGCGGTACCAAGATGTCTACAGCAATGATTTAGAAGATGAAAACAGTTATGAAAACTCTGCATGTGGAGAAATTAGAGCAGCTCGTGAAATTGCCACATCGAATTGTGAAAACCACAATGCAAATCCTGGCGGTTTTGTATTAGTAAATCTGTTAAGTGAGAAAAATAAGGAATTTCGTTACTTAGCTGTTTGCCAAAGGAAAATAGATGATATTTTAGTCACTTTCATGAAAAAATATGGTAATGATTCAACAATTTTCAAAATGGTAATACACTAAATAACCCATTCTATTCCAAATAATAATTTCAATCAAAAAATATCAATTTTTTCATATTTATATATTTGATATAAGTATACCTGTAGTCTTAAGATTAAGGTAAGTAAAGAGGTGGATATCTTCTATTTGTAATATTTCATTTCATGCATTCATTATTTAGTATTAAGTTCCTTAAAATATGTCTTTGTCATTAATCACTCCTCAGAAGGTCATCCAGGCTATAATGATAGGGCTGGCCTAATATTCATTTAACTTTTTTATACAAATCTACTAATTTATGTTAAATTAAGCATAAAGGTTTTTTTAAAAAGCCCACAACTTGTATATTTATTACATCTTCTAATATATAAAATTCTCGTGTCACAGTGTTTGTCTGCAAACTCCTCCGGAACGACTTCACCGAACGTTATGAAATTTGGTGTGTAAATTCTGTAGGTATGCGAATCGGACGTAAACTATTTCCCGTTTCGAAATTCTTAAAAGGGCTCCGCCCCAGTGGCTCTGGAGTTTCCCATGTTAACCTTATGAGAAATGGAATTAATGAATCTTAACAGCTGTTTCAATTAAACAAGTTGGTTCTGTTCTATGATGTTCAATAGCATTAAAGTTACAAGGATTACCAACAGGGTGCAGCACTATTATTTCTTTTACATTATGACAACAGCTAATTTGCAACCAAGAGGTGAGTGAGCGTAGCGAACTAACTTCAACCTGGAGGCGAGTTAGCGTAGCGAACGAGCTAACCTGAAGGCAAGTGAGCGCAGCGAACGAGCTTCAACCTAAAGGTGAGTGAGCGTAGCGAACGAGCTCTAACCCAAAGGTGAGTGAGCGTAGCGAACGAACTTCAACCTGGAGGCGAGTTAGCGTAGCGAACGAGCTAACCTGAAGGCAAGTGAGCGCAGCGAACGAGCTCCAAACCAAAGGTGAGTGAGCGTAGCGAACGAACTCCAACCCAAAGGTGAGTGAGCGTAGCGAACGAACTTCAACCAGGACGTGATTGAGCGATGCGAACGAGATCATCTTGAAAATTAAACGTAACGGTACTTTCTTTCCATCGGTCTGTCTTAGGGGAAACCTATAACTTAGGCGATACGAATTTCCCTGGGTCAGCTAGTAGGCCTATATAATTTGTAAGAGAATTGCAATATATCTATATTTCATAGAATATAATTCAAAATTAGTCCTTAAGGAATCAAAATTCAAGTGATCAGTGATCATACAATGTGTTCAACAATAGACTCTTGCAAACATTCTGATAGTGCTCTTGAAGAGAGAGGGGAGCCATAATTAAAATTGTTTAAGAAGAATACCAGATTTCATCCAATTTAAATTAATTTAATCTCATCAAGAAAATCCAATTGATATTTAATCGATTCAAGTCAACCTCAAGAGGACTCAATTTCAACGTAACTTTCCAAATTTAAGTATAAACCCAAATTTAATTTTAAACTAACTTATTAATGATGTACAGTATATATATGCTTTTCTATCAGTTGAGTTGTGTTAACGATATTTAGTTTTATGTTCTCCTCCGGTCTAACCTATAATATGAGATGATCTGTAGAGTCGGGACAATGTGATTCGTCTGTCTCATGTATCACTATGATGTCGATGTTCCTTTTATTATATGACCATGTATCAAGTTTTTTTTTTAAGTCACAAAATTCCCATGTTATTCTTATGTAGAATAGTGTAAAATGATTTTGTTTGTTTGTTAATAGATATATCTTGATCAAACTTGTCAAATTTATTTGTTTTATACTAGGCTATTAATATTTTACTATAAACACACTTTATTAGCCTCCTTGTAGCAGCAAACCTAGGTAATCGTTAAACGCAATGCTATTTTAGATTTAATTGAAAATCAAGTAAGTAAAACGGAAATTCGCTAGGTCTGCAGGTTTGCTGTGATGAGGGTATTTAATATTTTCTCTTACTCCTTGTGATCCTTTCCCCTTACGTAGTAAAGAATTACAATTATTTTCAATAATCCCCTTTTATATTGAGCATGGAGATACTGTAACTAATTTTATTACTTATTTCGAAACACCCTGTATGGAGTGGTTTAATAGACTTAAAACTAGTCCCAACGGATTTAAAATAACTAAAACCATCGAAAACCACACTTCACTCGACCTTAAATGTAAAAACAAAATTATTCACGAACAAGGGCCCTTCGGATCAAAAAGGGCCCCAAAAAGGGCCTTAGGACGCCCAAAATTTTGGGGACTCATCGGATCATCATTTCTCATATTATTAGTAACTCACAGGTGAAATTTCATGAATGTACAAATTTTGTTGTTTATAAAACCCTATTTTACCTGTACTACCAGCTGTTGTCAATTTACTGTTTACTGTCTTATATGTTATTTTTGTTAAGTGAATGGGCTGATTTATTTAAGGGTTTGTCATGATCCTGTACGCACAACGGCTGCAAGACTATACCTTTTGTGACTGACTATACTGTACCAAGATAATACGTTTTTTACAAGATTTTGTGTGTTCTTTTAGTTAAATGAAGTGCAATATTGTAAAATTAAAAGTCCCAAACACACAAACAATATCAGCTTAATACAAAGGCTAGGTGTTATGTACGTTTCATTAACAAGATATTGTGTATTCTTTTAGTAAAATAAGATTCAATATTGTAAAAAAAATCTTTCACTTGCAGTTTGAGAATTTCTGTACCTAAGCAAAAAAAATAATGAATTATTGCATCTATTAAAACTTTATTCTTTACGAAACGTTCCAAACGCCAATATTGTAGAGTGCTATTTTTCAGTATAAAAACGTTGCTTGTGCATATCAACTATGCCCAAGCAATGTTTTTCCACTTCATTTACACTTAAAATTTCAAAAGCTTAATAATTTGGTTTTTTACTTAAAAAAAATCCTTATAACATTGTTTTGACTAGACCTATCAAGTAGAATCTATAAAAATCCAAAAATAATCTTTAAAAAATTACTCTCTTAACGTTTTTTTTTAGTTTCTGTAAAGTTTACAAAACGGCGCATGGAACGTTTTTCCAGGGAGCCATTCATTTGAGCCAGGGAGTGGTGAAGACGTTGGTAACGGAATACTTCCACTTCGAAGTGCTTTACCAAAATCACTGTTCAGGTATATAGCTGGGTCACCTTCCTTGCCATAGTGTCCAACGTCTAACATCATTAACTTGTAGCTGTGATCCACCACAGAAAATAAAACAATACAAAAATATGCCTTATAATTATAATAGGCAGATCCTGATTGGTCGGGGCAAACGACAAAAGGGCTTTTTAGAGATGATTGACGCCTTTACTGACGTAATGAATAGGAAATCACCATACCCACTGGGTTCTCATCTAATAAGAGCTTCCTTTCGTCTCGACCAATATTGTGAAACACAGAAAAAATATTAGATTATGTAAAAGTAGGAATGTACGGGCTTAGAGTGAAAGGGAAGAAAAACTTACTACACTTTCAAAAGGGGATCATCATGTCCATAATATCACTGATTGGGCTTTTTGAGGGGTTGCAAAAAGCAGGATTAAAGTACATAATGACTAGCAGGTTAACACGAGACTTGCTTGAAAGTTTATTTGGCCAAATTCGAGGTGCTGGTGTGTTTGCAGACCACCCAACAGCAACAGAATTCATCTCACGAATAAAAAAATCATGCTTTCAAACAAAATGCCAAAACCTTCACCCAAAACAAATATTTAAGTGGAGGGCGAAACCAGCTTGGATGTGTAT